ACTGTGAGAAATCTTTAAATTTGTGTTCCAACATTAATAAAGATCAGAGACTCTACACTGCAAAGAACGAGAACAGGCAGGAAGAATATGATGACCATTTTAGCTCTACATACAATGGTTTACAACAAAAATTCTGCATTGGAGAGAAACCACACCAGTGTGGGAAATGTGGGAAATCCTTCAGTACTGCCTTAAGCCTCACTGTACATCAGAGAATTCATACTGGAGAGAAGCCTTACAAATGTCAGGAATGTAACAAATCCTTCACTGTGAAGTCAACTCTTACAAAGCATCAAAGAATTCATACTGGAAAGAAACCCTACAAGTGCAACATTTGTGACAAATCCTTTACCCAGTGCTCAAGTCTGAAAACTCATCAAAGACTCCATACTGGAGAGAAACCTTACAAATGCAGAGAATGTGGAAAGTCATTTCATCAGTCCTCAGCACTTAAAAGCCATCAGAACATGCATACAGGAGAGAAGCCTTACAAATGTAAGGAATGTGACAAGTCCTTTGCCCACTATTCTAACTTTAGGAGACATCAGAAAATCCATACCACTGAGAAACATTATAGGTGTCAGGAATGTGGCAGGGTCTTTCATTGGCTTTCACACTTAAGGAGACATTACAGACTCCACACTGGAGAGAAGCCTTACAAATGCAATGATTGCGACAGTTCCTTTACCCACTATTCATCATTTAGAAGACATCAGAAAACTCATTCTTTAGAGGAATTGTACGAATGCAAAGAATGTGGTAAGTCCTTTCTTGACTTATCACATCTTAAAAGGCATCACCTAATCCATACTGGTGAGAAGCCTTACAGATGTGAGGTCTGTGACAAATCCTTTACCTTGAACTCAACTCTTAGAAGACATCATAAAATTCATACTGGAGAGAAACCTTACAAATGTGAGGTATGTGACAAATCCTTTAGTGTAATATCAAATCTCAGAAATCATCAGAAAATTCATACCGGAGAGAAACTTTACAAATGTAGGCAATGTAGCAAATCCTTTAGCCAGGACTCATATCTTAGAATACATCAGAGAATTCATACTGGAGAGAGACCTTACAG